TAGCACTGCTCTCTCTGCCCACAAGGGCTTTAGCATATGTCCCCCTTTGCACCTGGCTGACTCTTCAAGCCTCAGCCAATACATCATTTCCTCTGGGGAATCTTCCCTGCCCTCCTACATGGAGGCTAGTAGCACCCCTAAAGTTCCCCTATCCGGAGGCTCATATACTGTGATCTAATGCCTGTGCACCCCTGCTGGGCTGTGAGCTCTGCAAGGGGAGAGCTCTTGCTCCCACTTTCACCTCACCTCCAGCACCTAGCACAGACTGCAAAGGTCTGGATGAATGAATCAGTGAATGAATGGAGGGATGAATGAATTGGAGATTGGGTGAGACCAGTGGGCAGATGGGATTTACCTTACCCACACTGATAGCCATCAATGCATTTTTCCTGAGACCAAGAGAGAAGTCATTTCACTTTCTCAGCGAGGATGAGCTTATTGGTTGAACCAGTAAGCCCTTTACTCCCAGTCCTGGCTTCTTGAATTCCCCACCCTGCCACCTCCACTTATCCAGTGTCTGCACCTGCAGAGGTCCTCAGACACTCCCTCCCAAGTATGGGATAAGGAAGAACCCTTCAGGGAGCTGGGAATGGAGCGGAGCATTTGGGAGGAAAGGAGCCAAGACAGTGAGGAGAAGTGAACAGAAAGAGGAAGAGGGCGCTGGAAAGGCAGGGAAGGGAAAAAGCAGCACGGACCCAGGGTGTGGTCAGCACACTCGATGTAGATATTTGGCGGGCAGATGGTCTCATTGCCTGAAAGGAGAGAAGATTATTTCTGGAATCTACAATCCTTCCCTTTTCCCCTACTACACATTCCAATGCACACAAATATGCAAGTTTGCACATACATATATACAGATGCATGAAAATGCATACATGCACAGAAACATATGCACACTTGCATGCGCATACATGTTTGTATACATGTGTTTGAGCTCATGCACACAAACCTCAACAAATATATAAGCACAGATGTACATAAGCACATGCATACATAAATACATATCAACATGCATGCAAGCATATGCGTGTCTGTATTCCCAGTGCATATGTAAAAACACATAACATCCCCAACACGTATGCATGCACGCTCACACGGATATAGACACACACAGAGCCTGTACACATGCACTCTGCTTATGCACACGAGCAGTGGCCTGCCCCTGGAGGTTCTGGAGTCTGGCAGGGTGGCATGGAGGGCTTGCTGGGGGTGGGATGCCCACCTGGCATGTGCACCATCCGGCAGTGGCAGCGCTGAAGCACAGCCTCCTTCTCACAGCGCAGCCGGCAGGCAGATACACTATAGGCTGAGTAGCCCTGAAGCTCAGGCTCTTTCAGCTCAGTCTCTGCCCGGCAGTTGCCCCAGGGCTGGGGCAGATAGGTCAGCTGCAGAGGTGGGGCATGATGAGGTCGTGCCCAGGAGTCCCACTCAGCCCTTCTGTGCCCACAGCCCCAGCAAAGTCCACATAGCTAGCTGGGGGGCTGTGAGCTCTGGGGGACAGGTCTGCTCCGCACTCCCTCTAAGCCCAAAGGCCCAGCTCTGTGCCCACCCCAGGGGCCAACTGGAGGTGCTCACCCGCTGTTCCTGGCAGGATACGAAGGTCTGAAAACCTGGGGACACCCCAAACCCCAGCTGGTGGATGTAGGGTGGCTCCTCCTGGCTGTGGATCTGCACTCGGATGCCTGCCTCAAATGATGTCTCATCTACATAGCAAAGATGAGGACTTTGGAAACCCATCCTAGGTGGAGGGCCCAGGCCCAGTCCCCTTCCCTCCTGCGTACTTGTCTCCCTCCAGATGGGTAGGTATTCCTCCTGCTGGATGTCCAGCATGATCTCCAGGCCGCTGCCCATGCCCCCTGCCCGGCTGGGTAGAGAGCTCTGCGGGTCCGCGTTGAAGGTATAACACTTCCCATAGCGAGTATAGACCTGGGTGGGGGTGACAACAGTAGAGGACATGGAAGGAGAAGCTAAGAAAACTCCAAGTTTCTCTGTCCCCCCTGAGGGCCACCAAACGTGCTTGCACATCCCTGTCTCATATCCCAGCAAGCAATTTGCAGCTCTCCCTCTCCCCTGAGTTCCATCTTTTCTACTGACATCCTCCCTTAGTCAATGATGAAAAGGCATCTCCAGATAAACTACATCCCAATAGCAGAACTCTTGATACCCCCTCAAATCATGTCCCCCCCAACTTCTGCCATGGTTTTCCTCTGAGTAAAGAGTATACCCAGTTTCTCAACTCAGAATCCCTGAAATCTCCCTCTCCCTCACTCCCTCAACAGTGAGTCCTGGGCTGTTTCTGAAATACATTTAGAATCTATCCATTTTCCTGGAATCCCCAGTGAGCCCCCTCTCATCATCACCTCCTCAAAACCGGTCCCCCATCCTCACCCCTCCCTTTCAGCAGTCCAAGCTCTTAGATCCAGCAAAGCCATCCCCTTGCCTTAAAACCCAACAATGACTCCCTATTTCCCAGAAAATGAAGTCGCACTCCTTCTCTAGTCTGAAAGTCTCCAGGTGATGTGACCCTTGCCTGCCTCTCCTGCTCTCCCCTACCCTAAGCTCTGTGACAAATTCAAACATCTGGACTCCTTTCCTCCTCTGGCTTCTGTTGTTGTGGTTCCCTCTTCTGGAATACACACACACACACATACACCTTCAGGCGCTTGGAATGGATAGCAGTGTTATCTTTGAAACCACAGCTTAAGTGTCACTCATAACACCACACATCCATGCTTTTATTGGTTAGCTCAAAGTACTTCTCAAAACTTGAGATAATCTTCTCCATCTGACTGCCTCCTGTCCATTGTCCGTCTCCCCCGACCAGAGGTGTGCTGCTGGAGCAGTCAGTGAGCCAGTCTGGCGTCCCCAGCACCTGGCCCAGGGCAGGGCACAAGCTCTGAAGCTCAGGAGAGAGCTCTGAGGAGAGTTCCCGTCGTGAACAGCAGATGGAGCTGGCGCCCCGGAGATGGCCGCCGAGGCTGTGGTCACGGATTTAGCTGCCACCAGGAGTTGAGCAGCGGTAGGGGCGGGGAAGAGGTTGAGGGAGAGGCGGATTCTTGTTCCCCCCTACCAGGTTCACCCCACTGAGACAAGCCCCCGGGTCAAACCCATCACAGGCAGCACCTTCCCCGGGGGCGCGGGGTCGGCGCACTCAATCACTCTCTTGCGTTCCTCCGCCCCTTTCCTTGGGAATATTTCACGCTGGTAAAAGCTGGGAGAAATGGCTTGAAGCGGTGTTAAAGGAAAAATATATAGTGATGCCTAGCTTTGGAGGGAGCCTGCAGCAGGGAGAGAGGCCGAGCTGAGGGTGGGGACGTGCAGAGTTCTGAAAACTCAGAGTCCATGGGCGGTGCCTGCGGCTCAGTGGGTGGAGGGTTCGAGCCCGGCCCGGTCAAACTGCAACAACAAGAACAACAACAACAACAAAAACTAGTCGGGCGTCGTGGCGGGCGCCTGTAGTCTCAGCTACTCAGGAGGCTGAGGCAAGAGAATCGCTTGAGCCCAGGAGTTGGAAGTTGCTGTGAGCTGTGACAGCACAGTACTCTACTGAGGGTGATAAAGTGAGACTCTGTCTCAAAAAAAAAGAAAACTGAGAGTCCTCCGGAGACATCTGATGGGGCAAGTTTAAATCCTCTGTCGCCTGCTGGGTGGCCGCTCTGCAGCGGTGCTCTCTCAGGACTTCAGCCCTGATCCTCCCTTCACACACACAGTTCTTCTGTCACCCAACTACCCTGCCCTCTAAGATAAAAACTCGTGCATAACAAAGAGCTTGAAGTTTTACAGAACATGGCACTGGCTGCCCCATTTCTTCCACTCAAAAACTCAGGTATCAGGTTTAATTATACTTGTTATCAGGGCCAGGAGCCATGGCTTATGCCTGTAATCCTAGCACTCTGGGAGGCAGAGGCAGGTAGATTGCCTAAGCTCACGAGTTAAGAGACTAGCCTGAGCCAGAGTGAGACCCCCATCTCTAAAAAATAGCCGGGAGTTGTTATCTCCCCCATTGTATAGATAAGGAAATTGAGGTTTAGAGAATTCAGATGATTTACCAACACGTCCAAGATTAGAGCTTCTCAAACTTTATGTGCACACAAAAGTTTGCTGAGGTGGGGGTGGGTCATTTAAAATAATAGATTCTGATTGGGAATATGTTTCTAACAACCTGCTGGTCCACAGACCACAGAGTAGAAAGCTGCCAAATGAAGGGTCAAGAGTCCAGCAAGACAGACTTTTCCAGACCTGTGCTCTGATATGTCACAGAGGTGGGGGAACCCTGAGAGGGCTGAATGCAAGATTCCTGGGTCCTTGATGGTGTGGGAAAGGCAGATAGGAGAAATATGTAAGTATTTGCAGAAATCCAAAAGCACCCAATATCTTCCTATTTCAGGCCAAGAAGATGCTGGAATCAGCTCTTGCTGATGCAGCCAGTTTTGTTTGTACGCTCTAGTTGACAGGCTAAACAAGACATAGCTGCATGGGGTCCAGGTTATGAGATGCTCATTCATGTCCCTGAACACTACCTCTGCAAAGCACTGACAGCCAGACAATGTCATGGGACCATGAACTCCTGAGGATGGCAGTCCTGTTTCCTTCTAGGCACCCCCAAGACCCAGTGAGATATGCAGAAGGAGACGTGAAGTGGAGGGAAAGAGAATGAACATTATCAAACATCCCCACTTTGGACGAGGTCTGGAATCGGTGCTTTTGATCTATATTTTCCTTTAAGCCTCCCATAAGAGGTAAATACTGTTACCTCCTTTTAATGATGAAGTAACTGAAGTCCAGCGGAGGAAAGTGACTTGGCTAAGGTCACACAGCAATTTAATGGCAGCTGAGATTCAAACAGAACTGAACCCCATGTCAAAGCACAGAAGGCACTTATTAGACACTAAGTAGGTATTAAGTGAACAAATGGAAGCCTTTGGGAGGCTCCTGAGCCTGGATAGGGCTAGACTGGGACAGCCTCCCTACCTGATACCTCCAACATAAAATACACATGGTGTCAAACCCAACTCCATAAAGGACAGAGCAAATGCCTGACTTGTTACCTAGCACACAAGTCCTTGAAGTGGTTGGGCAGAGTGGGAGGTGACAAAGGGAGGTGGGTGGAAGTTATCCAGGCCTAAGGGCTACTCTGCAGAGAATGGACAGGCCACAGTGGCGCAATGCAGCCACCTGTACCACCTGGGTCAGGCCCAACTGCTGGGCAGAGCACAGCGTTGCCCAGGAGACGGTCCTTGGTCCAGGCAGGCAGCAGAGGGTAGAGTCACCAGCTCCTAAGTGGCAGAACTCTGGTGGCAGCACAGCTCACAGCTTCTTCCATGGAGACGGCACGGCAGCTCAGCCACAAGGTCCCACTGGCCAGCCACTACTCCCTCCCCACAGACTGGCCCAGAAGGAGGCATATGCACAGGAGTTAAAAGTCAGTCCAGGGCCCAATCAAGGAAAAGGGAAGGTCCTGGGCTAAGCAGTGTCCTGTGGGCAAAGAGGCTATCTCCAGAGCTTCACCACCCACCACCGGCCCCTATCTGTGCCTGTCTTGCTCTGACTACCTCCCCTACAATATTGGCTTGGCCCCCAGCCAAGGTCATCTGTCTCTCTAGCCTCTCCTTCCTGATCTCAGTGTTTCTTTCAAGTCCTCCTGGCCTATCTGCCCCTAGCATCTGCTCAATTGTCCATCTGGAGTCTGTTTTTCTGCCCTTTGTCAGCCTGTCCATCCCCTGGTCTCTTTCTCTCCTACTGACCTGAAAAACCCCTGGCCTCTGACCCTTGCCCTCTGCAGCTCTATCCATTTGCTTTCTTCTCTGGCCACCATTAAGTGAGTCTTTGTCTCTTGCCCTTTTCCTAGACTTTTCTCTGGACCTAAGGTTCCCCTACCACCATCACCATGCCAGAAACCCCTCTCCAGGTGCTCTCCCCCTCCTCCCTACCTCTATCTGGATTTGCTTGAGACCTTGATCAGGGGTTGGGAGACATCTGTCCAAGCAGGAGATGGACAGATCTCAGTCCTCAAAGCTCCATCTAGCCACAGCTTCTCCTTTCTCCAGAAAGCCCTCCCTGGCTGGCTTGATTGGATTCTCCTCCAGCTCTCCCCACCCCCTCATGCTCTTTGCATTCATAGAGCCCACAGGGTTAACAGGCAATTAGCAGGGCCAAGGCTCAGAGCTGTGGGGGGAGATGGCCCTGGGCCTCTAGGAGATAAGAAAGCATCCAGGAGCTTCCGAGGCCAGGCTAATCCCAGAGCTAATCTGCAGCCTGGGCTTTATCTCCACTGCCTTCTGGGCACCCTGCCTGAGGTCCTGGCACCTCCCCCCTCAACTTTTCCAAGGTAGGCCCGTTCCCCCCCACCCCATTCTATCAGCCCTCTACTGATGAGGTCCACCCCATTCCTCTCACTTAGGCACCAGGATGAACTCCTCTTAACCCCTGCAGTGCTCTGGGGTCCAGAGTGGCAAGTGGAAGGGGTACAGCTTCACCTGCCCTGGACTGTAATTTCTATCCTGGGTGGAACTGCTCCTGGGCCCTGGTTTTATTTAGGAGTGGCCTAGTATACAAGCTCAAACCCTCCTCCTTCTCCTCTATCCTCCACAGGGGCAAAGGAAGAAAGAATCAACCCAAAATATCACAATGTCTATGCTGGTCAGAACTTCGAGGTCATAGGCCATCCCCTCATTGTACAAAGGGAGAAACAGAAGCCCTGCAAGGTATATATCCTAGGGCTTCCAGAAAACAGGTAAATTTTAAAGTGGAACCCAGCTTTCTAGGTGACCACTAGCTTCGGTCACCTCGTTGAGTCAGTAGATGGTCAGTAGTCTCAGCTCCAGTTTCATCTTCACTACTGACAGCCTGTTTGACTTTGCTTAGCAAAATGATTCATTAACTTCTCTGGACCTCAGTTTCCTCGCCTGTCAAGTAGGGACAGAAAA